ACATACAGATTTTAAAAGAATGTAAATTGTTGAAGTAAATTCCTGTGATTGCTCAACAAAACAGGTATATTCAGGTGGTGGAGGTAGAGATGTGGTGGGAGGAAAATGGAATGCTGTGAGACCACTGAAGTGGCATTAAAACTGGAAAACCAAGACACTTATATTTGTAGTGGCAGCTTGCAGACGCTGCAGGGCTCACCCTGTTACACAGCTACGTGGATGTACAATAGTTTTATCACCTGGCTGCAGCTCGTCGGATTTCCTCGGGAAACAAAGTGCACGAAGCGCCGTGCATTCAGATGCAAAGACCTCACGCAACACAACTCTCACGTAGCCTCTCTCATGTACTCTGGAGGCCTCACAGTTTGTAATACCAGCTGACAGAGTGTCCAATAGGCTTAGAGAGGGAGTAGATACAGCGTGTGGCATGAGATCAGACCCAAACTTTTGGTTTAGATAAAGACACAGTTCCCCTGTAGTCAAATATTTGGCATTCAGAGGAGTGTAACCTCCACCAAGGCCCAACAGTCTCCTCGTGAAACATCATTTAAATTCACTACATCCTCATTTTTATTTGGATCTGCACCAAATTTCATTCAGCCATTAATATCAGTCAAACTCTAGTGTGGTCCTCCCCTGACCCATATCGCATCCTGCCACCAAGTTTTGTTTTTTATCCTTCCAGTAGTTCTTGGTAACTAACAGAGGAGGTACAGACAGACCGACAAACAAAGAAACGCAGACAAAAACCTAACCTCCTCAGCAGAGGTGATAAAATGATTTTAAAGCTGCACTCCACCCAAGCGAATTATGCGTATGGATCCGCAGGGAGGAAGGGTGTGAGAGGTAGTGAACATATTTCTCGAGCAGTCAGGTGCATCGGCTTGTTTAGAGGCTCGAGCTTTGTGCCAGCTTTAGTTGTTAATGTCTTATCTAATGCATAATAATTTGTTTTAGTGCTTTTTTATGGAAGGTGGAAAATTCCATTAAACTTGTGATAAAGCAATAACATAACAAACTGGGGGTTTTAGTATTAGTCCTTAGTTACTTCGTAAAATAAACATTTTTGAGTTTATTAATTTTACCGTCTTGAGGTTTACATCCAAAGTCTAAATATATATATTTATAAATGAATCACAAACTCTGCTGAGTGAATTCAAAGGAAAGTAGAAGGGCGCTCGTTAAGCACAGTCCCCTGGAATTTAATCAGGCCACGTTTAAGGAAGTGAAACATTCGTGGATCGACCCCCTGATCCAAAATGGAATGGAGCCTATTCTGAGCCATTTTGCATCCTTCCGTCCAGCAAAATGATCAATAAACGCAGGTGGAAACGTAACCTCCTTAGCTAGGTAACTTGCCGGGCACTCGGAGAGCATGCATACCTCCACAAGGCTAACGCCCTGTCTCGCTATGTTAAAGAAAGTGAAGAAGTGATTCCAGGATCTGCCCCCTTTGTCGAATACGCTCCAAAAGTTAATGGGTTCTTCTGTGGCCAATGCCACACCTTCTACTCATAAATCAACAAAATCGGTTACGTAGATTTCGCGTAATCCTGTTCACAGACAAAGAAAGGCAACGAAAACACCTTGGCAGAGGCAGCAAAGTGAGCCACCGGACTGAGTGTGACTGACACAGCGATGCAACTCTCCTGCTAACATCACACCATTGTTGTTTATGTTGCAATGCAGTCTGGGTAGTGATGTGAAATTGTTGTTGCATCGATCTCCTTCTAATTCTCTTGACCCAAAGTGATACGAACATGAGGCGCGTTCAACATTAACCTTCTGATTTCTGAATTTAACAGATGTTTGATATGAATAATGTTTTTATTTTATGTTCACTCTGTGGTGCTAGTTAGTATCTGCAACATGCTCACAATGCTAAAATGCTGGTTAAGTAGCATTACTCAGTGTATTATATTGGTTTATTGGTTACCGAACAGCCTTGAAGAAAAGTAGACAAAATAAACTTAATTTTATTTTTGAGGGGAAAGAAAAATGACTTTCATAAAATGACAGATGTATCTGAATAGGAATATAAAAAAGTAATAATAGTAAAACTCTGCTTTGAGCCTGTTTCTTTTCCGCCTCACATGAACTCCCACTAAAGCTTCTATTTTGAAAGTTAATACCCGGCTTAGTGAGATGAGGTGGGAAGTTGAGTTTGTTGAAATAACAAAATGTACAACAGCAAAAATGATTTATTACATTGATGAATTATTGGTGCAACCCAAGCTTTGTGTGTTACAAAACAATTCCACTATAAAGAGCCTCTGAGCCGCAGGGTGACTGACACCTCAGCCCTCGGCTAGATAATGTCAAACCGCCAATTTGTGCAGCGAGCCACGCCTCGTCGGCTGACGTCGGGAGGTTAGCTCGGGGCTACTGGAACATTTCGATATAGGCACTGGGGGATTGCCTTTGTTGGTTTGTGTTATTGAGAAGTGGTGGTGTTGTAAAATTATATTTCAACTTTGGTCTCACAGCAGCTGTGATACACAAGATCTGCAGGCTGCCAACCAGAGAGGCAGGAGAGATTTGGATCTGTTGAGGCAGAGCAGCAGGTAAAAGAAAGAGAGAAGAGAGGGCTCACACACACACACACACACACACACACACACACACACACACACACACACACAGTCCACTCCTTGTTCTGGCATGCAACAGATTGTTGGAGTGGCATTTAATTAATCCTGCCAGAAAAGGTTAGGGAAGAGAAGAGAGGAGGGATGGAACAAAATTAAAGACCCAAACAGAGAGAGAGAGAGAGAGAGAGAATCTGTTTGCCAAGAGAAAACAATTAATTTCACGAAAGCTGCTCAGCTCAGCTTCACAATGTCGACACTTAAATTCAGTGTCATTTCTGCAAAACAAATATGATTTGCAACAATTTGCAGCAACCAGGGTCGTCCACTAATCAGACTCCAATCTGCATTCTGATGGATGAATGCAACTTATCCTGAAATTAACCTAGAGTGCTCGATAGGAACAGAAAATATGGTTAAAAAAAAATGTATAAGGTAAATTTTTCCATCTCTGCTGTAAAGTACGATTCTACTTTACATCCCCTCCCTTCATAGTTATTATCATCCCTCCAGCAGAGAGGCACAGGAGACAACTTGTTTTATTTTGTAGGTGTGATTAGATATGTAACAAGCTGTTCCAAGAACAAAAGGTAAATGAGGCTAAATTCAACATCCTCTACATGCGCATGACTAAGATTCATGGGAATTACCAGAGATGATCTTTTATAGGTGGAGGGTTTTTTCCACAGAAGCTCAAAAGAGTAATAAAAATGGGTTTTACTCCTCCATACCGCAAGATGACAATAACACTATATCTGCAGTGGCTGATAAGGTCATTGATTGCCCCGTCAGGGTCTGAGCTGTGTGTCTTTTTAAAAAGTCATTGTCCAGAAGCTTCTCACCTACTGGAGTTCAACATCTCTGCACTTTTCATCCTCTCATTCATTCAGAGCACAGCGGCTACAGCTCGGAGGATATTTGAACCTTGTTGTCAGGACGAAATTAATGATACAGCAGCATTGTTGTGACAGTAGTTTGCACTGTGATGTATGACTTCCTCCGATGGATGAGTCACCTACATATTCAGCCCCTGTCTATTGTGAAAATGAGACTTTTAGTCTCTGCTGTCATCGCAGGGACAAACGTGCCGCAGACGGCAGCTGCTGGTGAGCACAGGACGATAAAGGTCAAAGATGACTTTAGATTCCTTATTGTAATTGATAATAAAAGTGGCAGCTTAGAGGTGACCTTCAGTGTGACTCATGTTTTGTGGCCGTCAGGAGTTGCAGTCAACGAGCGCAGAGTGACACATTTGAGACGAGGACAGGACACACAGCAGTGATCTGTGGCTTCCTGTGGAACAGTACGTCTGCAACCTTTATTTCAACTGCTCAGGGCCGCTAGATCACTCACTCACACACATACAGTATGCATGGGCACACACACACACACACACACAGACACACATATGCATGGGCACACAAACACACACACATGCATGGGCACACACACAAAAAGTCCCTATTCTCCCAGCAACAAACCATTGCTACTTAAATAAGAATGTAGTGCCCTCTTCTGGCCATCAACCTTCATGACCTCTGACACCAGTAATATTCAGTTACCAGTATAATTAGTTTACCCTGTTAAAACTAATGCTGTCTAATAAAACCTTAGAATAACTCTTACCTCAGTAGAACAACAGTTGCTGTTTAAATATGTTTAGAAGACGTTGATTCAACTCTGTGGTCAAAAAGGAAATAAAGTTTCAGCAGAACAACATTCACAATTTTCACAACTGACTTGATTTGATTTGAGACCCAGCCTCTGTCTCTATCTAGTGGAGGAACAGGGGAAGTGCACACTGATCAGTTAATCAAATGAAAGCATTTGAATCCAGGAGGCAGTTAAGGTGAAAACTACAGCAATATGTTGACTATATGCAGTAATTTCCTTCTTATTGTAACCTCATGTAATTCATACTTGTCCATAACACTAATCTGCCACATGCAGTAAATGTAGGCCTCACTTTTACTTCTTGATCACTCAAAGAACACTGTCGTCAATAGTAACCTACAGTAATGTCATTTAGTTTTTTACATACTGTGCACGCAAGTCATGTTGTTGTGCGTACATAAGAAAAAGAAAAATCATTTTTCGGTGCTTGATCGTAACCAATCTGATTAACTCACATTCGCTTCCTATAAAATGAGTTGGTCAGAGAGAAGGACAAACATGTTTTCTATATGAATTCATTTATTGGGCTTTAAAAAAGGAGGCATTACAATAAAATAAAATCAGATGCTTAATACCTGGTGATCAACAGCCAGTTCAATGAGTGTAGTAACAACTGTATATGAGCGTTAAACCTTTAAATTCAGGTAACTCTCATCGTAAAACTTCACAGAGCTACAGAATCTATCATAAAATAGAGAATAGTGTCTGTATTCTATTCTGTCCAGATCTATGTGTTTCTTTTTTTTCCTTTCTAATATTTTGCTTTGCGCCACCTATCTGCTATCTTGGGTACTGGCTAAGGCACTTTCTAGAGAAGCTACTTTCCCTTATTCAATTTACTGCAAAGTGAAAAGCTGATAATGTACATAGCAGATTACAATTAAACAGAACAGTATTATTTTGTTTTGTCACTAACACAGAGGGTACAACACATTCAGTGATACTACATGACCCCCCCCCAGATCGACTGTATGCCGCTTTACATCACCACATTAAACACAATGAAAAACAATGAGTCAAACACTCTTCAGCTGTCTGTAAATCACAGTATTACGTCAGGTGGATACAGTCGCAAGACACAAATGACTGAAGAGGTTTTACAGTTTACATGGTAGAGAGAGAATTACTCATTCAGATTCTCAGAGGAGCCTGAGAACGTCATTGGCCTGTTTTCATTCAGAGTCTGTGACACAGCTTTGTAGCTTAGACAGTATTGAACAAGACAAATAAGAGAGGGGGGTCACATTAAAGCAGCCATTGGAATAAAACAGTTTAACAGTATCGTACCATAACTCAACAGTAGTATTTCAACGCCCGACTCCAACATTGACATGGATTATATTTTGCAGCTTTGTTTCTCTGCATCAAGTTAATATGAAAAGCAGGAAAGATGATGCGGTTTGCAGATGATCCCCAGTTTATCATACATGGATGTAGTCCAGGTTTTAACTGTCGCTTCACATTGTTCAGTGAACAGTCCAGCAGAGGGAGCCCTCACTACAGGTTATCCTTTAACCATGACCAGGCATTTGCATAACTCCCCCCCAATGACATGTACGTTATATGTTTAACAGTGCATGTGGGCATGAGTGCAGCCCGCAGGACATGATATGCATTGGAAGCACCTGGAAAACTCCACTGAGGATACAGTAATGGTAGAAGGTAGCGTGTTGCATGTCGGGCGACGTAATGACTACCATACAGTATGTATGTAAATGTCAGAACCAGGATGTACAAATCAAGTAATTGGCAAAAAATCGGCACTGCAGTGAAAATGAGAACCAACATTTACAGATGTTGACTGAGGTCAACTTCAAGTATGTTGCTTTGTTGAGGGACTGAATACAAACTAGTGGGAAGAGTTTTCTGAAAGTCTTCTCCTCCTGATTTATGATATATATTTATTAAAGTAAAGTAAAATGAATAAAGGCTATCAGTGCTGTCAAAGATAAACAAACTGTTACATTGAAGAGGACTTTGACGTGCACCACAAGTCTCAATCGTGCAAAATCTTTTTGTTTCAGGGTTTTCTTTTCCTCAACCAGAGATTGTGTACAAAGATGGATGACACGTCTCCACCTCCTTCCACCAGCCAGAAATGAAGCCAAAATATCCAAAATACAAACACGGAAGGAAGTGGGTTAATGACCTATACAGCAGCCAGCCACCAGGTGGCAATCAAGTCACTTTGGCGTCACTTTTTGGTCATGTCGTCCATCTTTATTTACAGTCTACTACTGGTTAGCTACGATAGCTAACTGTAGCTCGTAACAAGAGATGAATTGCTGTGCTGACGTTTCTGCTCCGTCTCTTTTGATCCTGATAATCAACGCGGACGTCTCTTCACTACTCGGTTGACACATCTGGGTCTGATGGTCCAGAAAAGTACGAATAACCTGCGTTTCTTTCAATGTGCATAATGAAAACAGCCCGGCAGTGCAGACCTTGTATTATTCATGCACAACTGTCTCCCACATGAAGTCCTAAAATATATATTTCAGTCATGTTTTATTCTTTTAATGTTGGAAACATTTGAGTTTTCATTGCACAGCCCTAACGCTGTCTCCATTTAAACAAATAGAAGTCAAAGGGAGGGTTCAAAAATATTAATGATGCTGGGAGTACAAGGTTCAGCCCCCAACCGTGCCCCAGTCATTTCAACACAGACCTTAAAGAAACTGTCTTTCTGTTTGCATTACGTGGAAAATATAAATATCTAATGTTATGCTTCTTTTAGCGGAAGCCAATCACTCATGATTCCCTCGCAAGCTTTAGAAAACGACTTTACAAATGTAAAGACTGTATTGCACTCACTGTGATAGTGATGAAAACCTTGAACAGCTGATAATCCGTTTTTCTTTGAAACCCAGCAGCCTGTTGATGTTCTACTTTTCACTTTCAGCATCAGCGGTGATTGTGTTTTTAGAGGATGCATCAGCATTCGGACAACATGACAATATGGAGGATGACACACAAACTGTAGACGACAGACACCGAAGTAGGGGTCCAAGAAGAGCCTATTATACTTTGGTGTGGATCTGGATCAGGGGGAAGGTACAGGATTATTTTTTTTTCATTTTCTTTAACATTGCAAGATAAAGTGATTTCAACAATTTAAAAAATCCTGATGAGAAAATTCTGACATATTCCGGGCGTTAGTATTGATGAGGATGTGCAATATCGGTGCAGATCCCCAAAACAATCTGGATCTGATGGATTTAAATCTGCTTTCATTGGGGTGGAGGATTGTTTGAGCCGCTGTATGTTGACAAATAGGCTAGAAGCTGTAAGCAGCACCAATATGTAGCTGGGAAACGTAATGTGACCTTAGTTTTAAGGATCGTTTTTATCGAGGGGACTGTTGGGCGTGGTGAATATGATCTAAGATCAAGGAAGACGGCTTATTCTGGTGAGTGATGATTTTCAGTTAATGCATCACTTACAGGTGTAACAGTCCTGGTGCGGCCTGAAATAAATTGTTGTGTGTGTGAGAGGGAGAAATTGGAGGGGGGCCGCTGATGATAATGCTAACATTTGCACTATCCTCTGCTCTAGCGCACTAATGCTCATCACCACACCGCCAACAGCAGCAGAAAGGAGAACACTTGACTCCCTCCAGCTCACATTGATGTCAAATCTCTCAATACGCAATGCTGACTGACCCAGGTGTGGAACCCCACTCTCTCTACTTTGACACTTCTTTAAAAGTCACTTTAAAGCTTTCGTATGAAGACAAACTAAATTCTCAGCAGATTTATAGCTTAATATTAAGGACACATTAGGTGCTGATAGCTCATTAACCGAGGGAGAGTACACTCTTAAGATGGCAGGAGGAGAGGGGATCATATGCACACAAGTAGACCAGACCCCTCCCCCCTAACTAAGTGCTGCAGAGATGCAGGGAATGAGTGTGTGTGTGTGTGTGTGTGCGTGTGTGTGTGCATAGGAGGAGGGGGGATGGGGGAAAAGAAAGTGAGTGTGTGTTTGTGTGCGAGTGCAGGCAGTTCCTACAGTTTGATGATGGTTGCAAATCAAGCAGGGTGAGAGAGCAGACACGGCAGGAAATGGATCGGGCATTGGTGGAGGTGTAAGCTCGGCTGACTGGGTTTCTGTCTGCCTCCACAGCACTTCATGCATTAGAAGCTGGAGGAAGTTTGCACACACAGGAGGAAGGGGTGCTAATTGTTACTTTGACAAGATCTGGTATTGTTATTTTTTGTGTGCTTTTTTTTTTTTTTTACATAAATACTATGCAAAGATTAAAGATATGTCAACATCAAATCCCCAGCGGATTTATATCTCCTCAGAAAGAAAGCTCCTCTTTACCAAGCTTAGGGGGAGGTGATGCTGTTAGAGCCCAGGAGGGAGATTGGCGGCCTGGTGTAGTACAGTGGGACAAGGGGCGGGGTTTCTCCAGGAGCATCCCAGGACGGGAAAATGTGCTTCTCTTCATGTGTGTCATGCTTATGTGGTCCGACAGCAGCATGAACAATGAGCTCCTCAGCTATGGGTTCCTCTACAGTCTCAAACGTACACACACTTGGGTACACACAGAAACGTAAAGATCTCTCTCGTGCGCACACACACTCACACGCTCACACAATCCCTCTCTCTTTCTCCAAGCTGGTACCAGCCAGCAGCAAGAACGACCATCCATGGCTTTAAACCTGAATCAAACATTGTGAGCATAAGTTGCTTCAATAGAAAAATAGAGGAATTTCCAGAGGCTGATCAAATGTCTTTGGCACTTCTGAAAACACAGCATACGTAAAGGAATCAACGCTGAATATAAAAAGGCCAAACTAGAAAAGCTCTACAACCAGAAGAAAGATTAAGATAATCCAGGTTCATCCACATATGAGTCTGGCCAGTCCTGGGTGGATTTGAGCCTGAACAGGCCCGTATTCCACCATCTCTCCGTCCACAGTGATCACGCCCTGCGGAGTGATGGGCTCCAGCCGCAGGGCCTTCACCTTCTCATACACCAGGTAGGGGCAGCCGCACGCCAAGTGGGCGCCCTTCTCCATCGCGAGGAAAAGGCGCAGCAGGGCGGGACGTGAGATTCCTGCTGTCACGTAGAACAGATGAATCAGCCCGTCATCTGCCATCGCACCAGGGGCTGTCCACAGGTCCTCAGCAAGGTGGGACTGGTAAATAGCCAGTACCAAGACAAAGTCCTCCTCCTTGACCACTGTCCAGCTCTCTGGAACCGGCTGCTCCAGACCAGGAAGAAGAGAGTCCACCAGTACCATGGTCTTGCCATCACTCTGGATCTCAGTTCTCTTGGTGGTGTTAGCATTATTGGGGGAGTTGGAGATGGTGTTGTGGTTGCAGTTTGTGGTGTTGTGGTGGTGACGAGCGTTCTGATTTGGAGAGGGGTTGGGGATGAGCCGACAGTGTAGGGAGGAGCAGAGTGAGGGGTGCTGAGGTGTGGAAGGGGGGTGGTTAGCCTTTATGCTCCCTTTTGGAAGTGCTGGCACCTCCTTAACAGGCAGATACGCCAACTTGCCCTGATAGACTCTGAGGGAGGCCAGGCGCACCAGGGTGCCCATCAGGAAGCGGATGGCGCCAACATGACGGTACTTCTCGCTCTCGATGTCAACATCTGCCACGAAGCCCCAGGCGAGGGAGAGGAAGGAGAAGAGGCGCTGCCGAGAGGCCAAGTGGATCGACACCAGGTCTAAGGAGCCGACAAGACCTTTGCACAACATGAAGCCACAGCTCAATAGTAGTTCTTCGTTCCACGCTGGAGATGACCTGAGGGATATTTGTACAAATCAAGAGTCAGAATAAATATTGCTGTGTATTGAAAACAGGAATCTCTACATTTATTTAGAGTATTTTGACCTTCAGGAGGTTATGTTTTCACCCCTGTCCCTTTATTGGTTTCTCAGCAAGACTATGCAAAAACTAAGGAACAGATTTAGACTAAACTGGGTGAAGGAAGGGGCGGATCCAAGGATTGTTTTATCAGTTCAACTTTTAAGTGAGAGAGCTTTTTATGACATTTTCACCAATTTACTTTGTTAAGTTAGCAGAGGGCACTCGGACTCATTACAAGGGTATTACAGCAATAAAACTATGGCAGTTCACAGACACGGGTGACAACTACATCTGTTTTGTGTCTTTGCTGTTGTGCCATCAACCACCCAGCAGATGGGGAGGCAGTAGCGCAGTCCATAGCGACTTGGCTTGGAGGGTGGCCGGTTCAAGTCCAGCATGGACGGAAGTTGGAGAGGTGCTAGTTCACCTCCTGGGCACTGCCGAGGTGCCCTTGAGCAAGGCACAGAGCCTTCATGGCTTGCCACGTTTCCGTGTCTGGTCACTGTGTGGATTGTGTTCCATGTGTTCCGTGTGTGCTCCGTTCACACGGATGGGTTAAATACAGAGGTCAAATTTCCCCATGTTTGCATGTTGCATGCTGTGTGTGGGACCAAAAATAGGAATCTTAATCTAGATGGAGATAATAAACTGGATATGTGTTGGGTTGACTGGTTCCACTGCTGCACTTTAATCACTCTTAATGTGTGATTTTCTAAACCCATTACATCATTCCTTTGAGAGTTATCAACCTAAAATGACCTCCTGCTGCACAGCCAAGCAGTTCCAGTTCACTCCACTGTCTCTCTTCCCTCCTGAGGAATGATGTGCCCAGTCAGCCTTCGGCATAATTACACAGAAAGAAGATAAATCTTCTTCTTTTTCAGGACGAGGAGGGTTGTTCTTTGCTCTTCTTTTGCACTGTTAGTCCATGCATTTAAATGACTCATTAATGGACTGACTTACTGTGAGTAGTGGTGGACGGAGGCGGCGAGGGCGTTGCCTGAGCCACCTGGTAGAATACCCAGAGGGGTCTGGATGGCCTCTTGCCAGTCCTCTCGGTCCATCAGACCATTTATCACCTGAATGAACAAGAGCAATGAGAAAACGAGAAACAGAGCAGGGTCCTTAATAGAACGGAAAACAAAAGTTGTGATAAAATGTGCATTGCAGCTGCTCTGTGTCAACTATGCAAAGCAACATGAATCCACCCTGGTTAAGGATTTATGTATGAATGAGCAGAATCCACACAATGGCTTTTTAGGAGCTGGATTTTAGATGCATCACAGCAACAGAGCTGTTTGTCGTGTGTAAATTCAAATTAAATTTTTACAGTCCTGTTATGAAGAGCGCTAACAATAGAAACAGGGTTGTGAGGGCTTATATCATTTCCATCTGTGCTTGATTTACAATCGTATCACTATAAGAAACAGAAACAGGTCAGGTAAAGTCAAAGCACCTCAAACAGCAGTCCATCTCCAGACATGATGACCAGGGCATCCCACTGCGACAGGTCCGCCTTCTTTACCAGCTCCCGTGCATGGTTCTGGTGCTCTGAAGGACACGAGCAAAAAAAAACAAAGACAGAAGCAGAAGATGTGGCAAAGTTTAGGAGAAAAATGGCGAAATAAAAACAAGGGCAAGGACAGGGAAAGAGACACACTCCCTTCATCGCCAGCCTCTGGGGTGGGATCAGAGAGATTAAGCAGAAAAGAGATTCAATTTCCCCTTATCGGGACAGACATATCACATTAACCCATCCAGTGGCTACTCAACAGCTCCAAGGCAGCTTAGCTGGCCTGCCAACATTTGTGACCGACAAATGTCAGCATGTGTGCGCAAGTGTTGGTTAATGCGCTGGCAGGCGGAGGACTGCGCTGTTTGTTCAGCCTAGTTTTATTGGCGTCGTCTTTGAGAGGGTCTCACCGCAGGGGGTCTCTGCGGACTCATCCCACCAGCATTAAAGTCTACAACTCTGCCAGCTGAGACTCCCCAGTGTGGTGGTGTGTGCCGATAAAACAGCTTCAGAGCGAGAGCGAGAGAGGGAGAGGGGAAGAGGAGCAGGCAGACAGTGAGGAGGTTACTGAGTATTGATGCACTGCCATCACGAAGGAAATATGTTTCCACTTCAGCCAAGGTATTGATCAACTGGAATAAAAACAGGTATCCTCCCCCTCTTCCTTCCCTCTCTCCCAGCCGTGCTCCCCCATGATGCTGCTGTTTGTTTGCAGTGTACCGGGCAGGCTGGAGGCGGTGATGCGGTGCTGTGTTGACGGACAGTGGCAGAGGGAGTAACTGCACGGCACAGCTGACTCAGCACTTTGAGCCCGCCAAGCCAAGGGCTCTGGCTGATGCTTTACTTCCCAGGCACTTCCTTATCCAAGGGGTCACTGCCCAAATACAGGAACAGGAACTTGAACCTAGACCTGAAGGCAGAGGTGACTTTATCCTTGAGCTGCTCAAATATTGTCTCTGTGAATACAAACTTGAAAAGGAGAACACTTGACCCCCCCCCCCCCATGCTACACTCTGCTGCCGCTCCCTGAGGTCAACCAGGGTAGAGATAAAGCTTGGTACACTGGATGCTTCATACAGTATGTAAAAGGTACATGCTGACGTACAAGAGGTGCTTCGATGGGTACTTGTCCTTCCTTGGGCAAATGCTACATGTGATAT